TAAGCACTGTAAAGAGGAGTTTAAAAGGAGCAATACAGTATCTTAATACAACAGGAATCACTTTAAAACTCACATGTAAGAATATTCACCATCAGAGCTGGGAATGTGGCTTAGGAGTGTTTGCCTAGGATGCATGAAACTTGGGCTCAATTCCTCAGTAACACATAAGCAGAAAAAAGCTGGAAGTGGCACTGTAGCTCAAGTGGTAGAGCACTGGCCTTGAGCACAAAGAAGTTCAGAGACAGTGCCCAGGCCCTGAATTCAAGCCCCAGGACTGGCAAAAAAAAAAAGTCACCATCAGCACAAGTTTCCAGTCTTTTAATTCTGATATTAATCTTAAACTTGGGCTCTAAAGCTGACCTTAATGAACAAGCAGGACAAAGGGAGCTGTCTGTCTCTGGCTCATTAGCTCTTGAAGTTAATGCTTCTCATGGGGACAAGAGTCAGCCATAGGACAGCAAGCACTCCAGGCAAACTAGAAACTCATCCTCCGGTCCACAGATCACGGATTACTGCCTAGGCTTCAAGTGACAAAGCTTACGAAACGCTCCCTAGAGCCACCTACAGTTAACCACTCAGTCTAGTCTGTCATTTGACAACATCAGCTGTTAACTAGGTGCTTAGTGAATCAGAGCCTTGAGTGACCTCATTTAATCCCCACAATTAAGTATATATAATATGCTACAAGCCATCAAACCTAAGATCACTGACTAGATGATACCACTGTATTATATCCCAAAAGAAGGAAGCCACTGTAAACTATGTTAACACCCTCACCAGTTATAAATTGAGATTTCTTTGTTGCTTTGAACTCAGAGCCTAGACGGTATCACTGACTTTTTTTTAGGGCTCAAGGCTAGTGTTCTACCACTTGAGCCACAGCTCCACCTCTGGTTTTTTGGTGATTAATTGGAGATAAGACTTCCTCAGACTTTCATATCCTGGCTGGCTTCAAACCATAACCCTCAGATCTCAGCCACCAGTGCCTGGCTATCTTGGCATTGTTGAATAGTGTGCCCACTTTATAGACAAAGCAACTGAGGTACAGAAACAAAAAGATTTATCCAGGGTAACAGAGCTGTTGAGTAGAAGTACTGGGCTTCAGATGTGGTCACCTTTGCATGGCAGCAAACACAGACTTCCCAAGGGCCACATGTTACCTGAAACTGCATCTAGCGGAGAGGTGGGACACCAGCTAACTTATCTCCACCACAGCAATGTAGCTCTTTAATGAGGAATTCTGTGAACATCTTTGAAATCTGATCTGTCATAGATGCTCACTCAAGTGGACACTTGGCTAAATTCTCTCTCACAAACTCCATCCTACTCTCAGGAAAAGTAACATGCTCCAATGGGAAAACACACACACACACACACACACACATTTTAGAATTAGAAAGCTGTAATTGAAATTCCCTCTGTACATTTAATCAGTTTGTTACAAGTAACTGAACAATCCTGGGCCTCAGCTTCCCCTTCCATAAAGACCTTACATCTCCACCACCCTCAGAGGCTGCTGTGGAACAGGAAAGGATGAAAAGGGTAGGACATGGTACCTGTGAGAGCTGGAACAGAGCATTCTTTTCTGCTAGTCACTTTCTGCTCCGGGATGAAATCAAAGATCCAACATTCCCTGTGACCTTAACAATTTCCAAGTGGGAACTCTCAGAAGATATTAAGGATTAGATAGAAGAAAAGCCTGGGAAAGACATCCAAGGAAGGAAAATAAACTGCATGCACTTGGAAATTAGGGACAGTATGTTCCTTTAAAGAATTTCCTGGGCTGGGAAGGTGGTTCAGTGGTAGAGCACTTGCCTTGCATGCATGAGGCCCTGGGTTCGATTCCTTAGCACCACATAAGCAAAAAGAAAAAAGCTGGAAGTGGCGCTGTGGCTCAAGCACTAGCCTTAAGCAAAAGCAGCTCAGGGACAGTGCCCAGGCCCTGAGTTCAATCGGAAGGAAGAATGGAAGGAAGGAAGGGAGGGAGGAACAGATGTGCCAAGAAGGCATGAGGATAAGGACAGGTTGTGAGGCTTGAACTCAGGGCCTAGGCTTGGTCTTGGAGCTTTTTCACTCAAGCCTAGTGCTCCACTTTAGGCCACAGCACCATTTCCACCTTTCTGGTAGTTAATTGGGGATAAGAGTCTTATGGAGGGTTGGGAAGGTGGCTCAGTGGTAGGGCGCTTGCCTTGCATGCATGAGGCCCTGGGTTCGATTCCTCAGCACCACATAAGAAAAAAGAAAAAAGCCGGAAGTGGCGCTGTGACTCAAGTGGTAGAGCGCTAGTCTTAAGCTGAAGAGCTGAGGGATAGCGCCCAGGCCCAGAGTTCAGGCCCCACGACTGGACCAAAAAAAAAAAAAGAGTCTTATGGATGTTCCTGCCTGGGCTGGCTTCAAACCTCACAATCCTCAGATCTCAGACTCCTAAGTAGCTAGGATTACAGGTGTAAGCTTGTACACCAGACAGATAAAAAGTTTTATACTGAGCCTAACATACAAAACTGGTCTTTGCAAGCCCTTGTGTCAATGGCTCACAGCTCTAATCCTAGCTATTCAGCAGGCTGACATCTGTGGACAGCAGGTCAAAGCCAACATGGGCAGGACTGTCTTGTACACTGTTATCTACAGTTAACTACAAAAAAAAAAAAAAAAAGCTAGTAGTAGGAGCTGTGGCTCAAGTGATAGAGCACTAGCCTTGAGCACAAACAGCTCAGGGGACAGCTCCCAAGCCTTAAGTTTAAGCCCCAGGACCAGCACCAAAAAACAAACAAACTCATCTTTACTAATTTGGTTTGATACCAAAGTAATTTCTAATAGGAAGAATTTTTCCATCACTCTTCTCGATTTTTACATTAGGTAACATTCTGTTCACTTCCCTTTCTTTTCTCAAGAGCTCCAGAAACTACAAGCTTTTGACCAGAAGGGAAACCAGTCTTCCGGCATGCAGAAACAATCTCCCCTTTTTTATTCATCACTATATTCATAATGCTTGGCACCTTCTGCTACACATTCTCACTAAAATCTTTTTTTTTTTTTGGAGGGGGGGCAGTCCTGGGGCTTGAACTCAGGGCGCTGTCCCTGAGCTTCTTTTGCTCAAAGTTGGCACTCTACCACTTGAACCACAGTGCTACTTCTTCACTTTCTCTGTGTATGTGGTACTGAGGAATTGAACCCAGGGCTTCATGCATGCAAGACAAGCGCTCTACCACTAAACCACATTCCCAGCCCTTTCACTAAAATCTTGCTTAATAAATATTTCTTGACTCTAGACAATGTCTCTTTGTCCATAACATCCAGCATAGTTATGCTAAGAGCTTGTTTTTTCCTGCTACTGCTTGGGGCATTCTACGGCATCCTAACAACACAACTCCTAATAATAAACAATGTACTTGCCATATGTTAGGTCCAATAATCTCCCACATAATGACATTCTACTCCCTCATCAAACTTCTAGCACTCAAATCACTCCTCAACTTGACCCTTCTCCCCAAGAGGGCCTGGCCTCTGGATTACTTGTTGATGGACTCAGCTACCACACTGCTCTGAGCTGAACCAGTGTGTCCATCTTCCTCATCTCAAGTACTGCACCTTTTTCCTGAAGATAAAAGGTGCTCAGCTGAGGCAACACACACACACACACACACACACACACACACACACACACACACACACACACACACACACACACACACACACACTCTACATCCCACTTTCCAAGTCTTCAACTGTCACTCCCAGGAGGGACTCATGGAACCTGAAAGACACCAGCAAAAACCCGACTCCATCCTTATCACCTCAGGGAGCTTACTGGTTTTCTGTAAATTCAGATTAACTACCAATTTCTCAAAGGACCTGAAATAAGATGAAACAGTTTAAGGGTTGGGTAAGAAAACAGAAACGGCAGCTTCACACTGCTGTGTTACAGTGCTCCCCAACTCACAAACCTAGACTCCTCAAACTGCTCCTACCCCACACGTCAAGGATACGTGTCCCTCCATTCTCCTTTAATTACCAACCTCGCCTCCCCAGCTTGCTCCTGGCCTCTGAAGCCACGGCTCAATATCCGTGGCTGACAATCACCAACACACTTTTGTGCATTTCTCCCAGTGAGGACAGTGCTGAGACTTCAAACCAGCGTACAGCAGCCCCCGCTTTCGAGCAGTCCACGCTGTCCCTTCGACTCAAGAAAAAGTCCGTCCATCCTCCATGAGTGGCATGGATTTAAAAAATAAATACGTAAACACATTGAAAAAACAAGCCTAGTGGCAAAAATATTCCACCGCCGAGGAGGGTCGGGGAGGAGTGTTCACAGACTTTTTGTTGTTGTTGTTCTGGCCTTACCTTTCATGGATGCCCTGTAACCATGACAACCGGCGACTTCCAACACCCACCGACCCCAGGGAAGGGCTTAAGTTTTCGGTGGGGCAAACTCCCAGGCACCGGCCAAATCCCGCGCGGGGTGGCAACGCGCGGCGCAATGGGAGCCGGCTGTTGGCTTCCTCCTCGGGGGCCCGCGTTCCGCCGGGCCGCCGCCGTCACTCCCGGCGTTAGGCCTCGGCCCAAAGTCACCTGTTAACCTTCCGATCCGCCCCCCGGGGCTCCCGGCCGCCCGCGTCCGTGTGGAGTTGGGAGGAAAACAAGCGAGGCACGCGCCGCCGCCGCCGCCGCCGGGTCCCGGGAAAGTAACCGCGGCTCTCCACCTGCGGCGGGAGCCCCGGGGTGCCCTTCACCCCAGGGCCGCCTCCCCGGCCCGGGGGTCGGACCCGCAGCCCCACGCGCGGGACGGCCGGCGGGGCACCTGGGACCCGGGTCCGGCCCAACCCGGTCCTCCCCGCCCGGGCCGGCGCCGCCGTCCTCGCCAGGGGTCCGGGCAGCGAGGCGGGGCGCCAACGGCCGCGGCACTCGCCGGTAACCGAGACCTGTGGAGACGACCGGCCCCGGACCGGGCCTTCCCCGTGGGCTCCTCCCTCGACCGTCCTTCCCGGCCCCGCAGCGCTCACCCCGAATCCGCTGGCTGCCTCATGGTACTGCGCCGGCGCCCGTGCTCCGCGGCCGCCGCGGCTCCGGCTCCGGCTCCGGCTCGCGCTCCGGTCGCGGTCCCGCCGCCCGCCCGCCCGCCCGCCCTCGGGCACCGGCTGCCCCGCCCCGCCGCGGGACCCGCCCCGCGCCCGCGGCAGCGGCCGCCAACCCGGGAGCGACGGGGGCGGGGCCAGACGCGCGCCAGGCGCGACCAATCCAGCCCCTACCGCGCGCCGAGGAGCGGCCGCGGAAATGCGCGGGCGATTAATCCGGGCTGTTAAAGGGACCGCTGACCTCGCGATTGGGGAAGGGTTGGGGGGGGTCTACCTCGTGAGGAAGGGGGTGTTAACTGGAGGAGCCGGCGCGGGAGGGGGAAAGGGTTCTTAGTGCGACTGCGACGACGCTTTTCCCAGCTTTTTGCATTTTTAAGATTTATTTTTCTTGCACCCTAGCAACTAGTGCTTCTGAAGAAAACTGAGGCTTCAAGGACCAGGGATGTCTTGCTAGGCTGTAATATGCACTTGAATTTGGGGTTTGGGATGTTTTTTGCTTTTCTTTTTGAGACAACGTCTCACTACATAGCATAAACTAACCTTGGATATCCTTCTGTCTCTGCCTTTCCACCCGTTATTACATGGGGCCATGGCCGGTTGGAATTTAGGGTTTTAGAGGGTTGTCAGACGTATCCATCTATCCCTGTCCAGTTTCAGAAATTGGCTTCGAAAAGCAAAATCCCAGGCTGGAGGTATAGTTCTGTGGTAGAGCACTAGACTACACACACACACACACACACACACACACACACACACACACACAGGCCTACCCCTCCTGTCCAACACATCCAATCCCAAAATGACAAAATGATGGTTGCTAGTTTTTAGAGCTCATTTTAAAGAGACAGTATCTAAGGCCCAGAAAGCAAAAATGTTTCCTAGAAGTGAATGTTCTCTTCTGATGAGTTTCCTGTGATAGAGATGCCCATTTTACCTTTATTACCTGTAAGCCTGGCTTGACAGGCAGTTCTGGCACAGGACCCGGGTCCACAATGAGTGTACCCACTGCTTATCTGAATTGCCTTCTACCCAAACATCAGCCTGGGAACATCTGAGATGAATTTAACGTGTAGATTTTTAAGTCCCACAAAGGAAGAAGTCTCTAATTCACAAAGTCTGGGCCTGGGGAAATTAGCACTCACATTTCACCACCCCTATCCCAGGTGATTCTGGTAAGCTGTCCCAAGATGTGTATTCCAAGGTGTGTTTTCCAAGTCTATCATAGTCATAAAATTCAAGTTTTGGGGCTTGGACTCAGAGCCTGGGCACTGTCCCTGAGCTTCTTTTGCTCACCACTTGAGCCACAGCGCCACTTCCTGCTTTTCTTGTTTATGTGGTTCTGAGGAATTGAACCCAGGGCTTATTCTAGGCAAGCACCACTAAGCCACATCCCCATCCCAGAATCGTTTTTTAATCCTTAAAATTAGTAATGTGGTTGTGAGTCTTGCTAGGAAGGATAGAGATCACCTGCTGAGAAATAAAACAATTTCCTGAAGGAGTCGCGCTAACGGAATTTAAAAGGGCACTGGGCTTAGAAGCAACAGCTGAAAACTTGGAAGTCCTAACTAAGGCTTAGAACTTAAGGAAGTCAGTCTTGTTCTCTGACTAATGAGTGAGACAATGCCTACATATCTTAATGGCAAACACAGCCTTGCTCATTATCACTAGGCCAAATGACACATTCCAATACCATGAAACCTGGTTCACCCTCCTGGCCACATTCCCTTCCTTGTCCCAGTGCCTTGACACCTGGGACAAGTGTCTGATGCCCCAGACACCTGTGTGACCCAGATGTCCCTGCCCTGGATTTGGAGGTTATCCTCTTCCAACATAAAACGCTCCAGCATAGACTTCCAGCTCTTTGAATGGACTCTACACAATAACCTGGTGTTGTTGTTGTTGTGTTGTTCTGTTGTGTTTTGTTTTGTTTTTTGTCAGTCACGGGGCTTGAATTCTGGGCCTAGGCACAGTCCCTGAGTTCTTCAGCTCAAGGCGAGCACTCTACCACTTGAGCCACAGCTCCACTTCCAGTTTTTTAGTGGTTTATTGGAGATAAGAGTCTTTTGGACTTTACTGTCTGGGCTGGCTTTAAACCATGATCCTCAGATTTCAGCCTCCTGGGTAGCTAGGATTACAGGCATGAGCCACCGGTGCCTGACGCACAATAAACATTTTCTGCTGTGATAGCTGATGGGCACAACCGCACATTGATTGATTGATTAATTGATCTCATCAGAGTTGAGTCTCTGAGAGGCAGACATCTCTGCCTGGCATCACTGCTTATCTCCATGGCTCCCCCCACCCCACCAAAAAAGTGGAATTCTTGTCCAGATAGGAGAAGATTCCAGTTATGAATACCTGGAAATGCAACTTGAGGGGGGATGGGTAGGGTTGGGATAGCTGGGGGAGGGAAGAAGAGAATGAGGAAAGTGGTGACACAGATCAAGTTGTATTGTACTCAAAAATTAGTATGTTTAACAACAAGGGAAGGGGTAACAGTGCTCGACAAGAAATGTACTCATTGCCTTACCCAAGTAACAGTAACCCCTCTGTCCAGCATCTTTACAATAAAATTTAAAAAATTAAAAATATTGGTATGATTAATTAACCCCCCCCCCCGTGTACCTACTCAAAAAATAAAAGTATAAATAGATCAATTTTTAAAATAATCGACAAGCCGGGCACCGGTGGCTCACACCTGTAATCCTAGCTACTCAGGAGGCTGAGATCTGAGGCTCAAGGTTCAAAGCCAGCCCAGGCAGGAAAGTCTATGAAACTCTTATCTCCAATAAACCACCAGAAAACAGGAAGTGGCGCTGTAGCTCAAGTGGTAGAGCGCTAGCCTTGAGCTGAAGAGCTGAGGGACAGTGCTCAGGCCCAGAGTTCAAGCCCCATGACCAACAAAAAATAAAATAAAATAAAAATAAATAAAATAATCGACAAGCACACACAAAAAAGAATATCTGGAAACAGCAAAGGCAGTTATCAATGCCAGCTTGAAGACCATGTATAGCCCCATTTGGAGGATTGGGGAAAAGCAAGTAGCTATGGAGCTAGACCTTTGCAAATGTCCTTGAAAGCTGGCAGCATATCTCTCAGAGTGCTTAACCCCCTCCCTGTCTAACCCTCCATAAACGTTCAATTAAGTAACAAAGCAACATGGCCTCAAACTAGGGGCAAGAAGATCCAGCAAAAACACTTAAAGGAGAGCTTCTTTTTTAAGTGAGGAATTTAGATGCTTTGAAAAATAAGCCAGGCACCAGTGGCCTAGCTACTCAGGAGGTTGAGATCTGAAGATCAAAGCCAGCCCAGGCAGGAAAGTCCATGAGACTCTTTAGCTCCAATGAACCATCAGAAAACCGGAGTGGAGCTGTGGTCCAAAGTGTAGAGCACTAGCCTTGAGCAAAAGAGCTCAGGGTCAGTGTCCAGGTCCTGAATTCAAGCACCATGACCAACAAAAAAAAAAAGAAAAAGAAGTGAACATATAATAACATACTACTAACTCATCCTATTAAGAGGTTGCTATGTTCCATATACATACACTATGCCAAGTCCTTTGCACAAAGCAATTCTTTGAAATCTTACAATGATTGTGTGGTAGTTACGATTGTTATTTTCTCCCTGTTGCAGGTGCAGCCAATGAAGCTCACAGAGCAGGGCTAGTTAAAGAAAGAAGGAGCATTCATGATCTTAAGGATCAGCTTTCTCCTAAATGCTCTACTTCCATGCCTACCAAAATGACATCTGTTGCCAGATACAGGATGGATAACTTCAAAAAGCAGAAGCAGCAAATACCACAAATGTATACCAAAAGCAAATATAGTATAGGAGTACAGCTTTGGAGTTGAGGTCTCACTGCCCAAACTATCTACTTGACCTTGAGTTGAACAAGTTATTATGTTTTTTTGAATCTCAGATGGTTCATCTATAAAATGGGATGATAAATGCTGTTTTCTTGGACTGGCATGAAACTCCAATGAACTGAAAATTTTAGGTGACAGCTGTTTGGTCATGGTTGGATTTCATTTGAAATGTTCAATGGTTCAATTTTTTATTATTTATTTATTTTGCTACTGAGGATTGAAACCAGGACCTCACACTCCCTAGGAAAGTGTTCTATCACTTGAGCCACACCCCCAGTGCTTTATTGGTGAAGTCTTCCATTTTGATGGCATGATTATGACAGGCATTTAATAGAAATTACACTTCAAATTTTGCTCTTTTTCCAGACATGCAATATGATACTCAGCGCTGTGCTGAGGCTGTGGGCTGTAGTTCCCGGCCAACAACTGTACCATGTGGGAAAGTAACCTGTTCTCTGCAGTGTTGTACAGCTATAGGTGTAGCCAATTAATTTTGAACTTATCTGTGATGGATAAGCTATTATCCTGTAATGAATCTAGAAGCATAGATATACATGTACTTTGAATTTACAAATGAATTATTTCAGAGCTTGATATCTGACTCATTGTTGTGACCTAAGACAAAGGTCAGAGGCGATGATGCTAATAAATTCAAATATCAACTAAGGGGACTCCTCCCTTTGTCCCCCAAATGCCTGCTGAACCTGCAGTACATGTTCTAACATGTTCCAACTAGGGTAGATTTTGTTGTTGTTGTTGTTGATCATGGGGCTTGAACTCTGGGCCTCTTTAGCTCAAGGCTAGCACTCTACCACTTGAGCTACAGTACCAGTTCTGGTTTTCTAGTGGTTTACTGGAGATAAGAGTCTCTCAGACTTTCTGGCCCGGGCTGGCTTTGTTTGCACTGTGATCCTCAGAATTCAGTCTACTGAGTAGCTAGGATTATAGATATGAGCCACCTGTGCCGGCTAGGGTGGAATCTTAAGTCATGAAAAAGTTATAAACCCAACTTATAACTCTGGCTTCTTCCTCCATCCTCACCCCTCACCCCTCTCCTCTCACCCCTCACCCCTCACCCCTCACCATTCACCTCTCAACCCAGGCTCTCACAACCTGTACTCCAACTGTTCCTTAAGCTTACCTGGGTTCAAAAATGATCCCCAGTG